TCTCCTTTGCTCTGAACTCTGTCTACAGTCACTTGGACACTAGTAAATCTGTGGCGAGAATGCTTTTCATCGATTATAGCTCTGCTTTTAACTGCCTTGTCCCAGGTAAACTGATTGAAAAGCTCATGTCTCTCGGTTTAAGTGTTGCCATGTGTAAATGGATTTTTAGCTTTTTAACTGACAGATCTCAGAGAGTGAAAATCAATGACTGTTTTTCTGATGTTGTTTCTGTGAGCACTGGTTCTCCTCAGGGATGTATTTTGAGTCCTTTGCTTTTTACTTTGTACACTCACGATTGTGTGTCCTCCTCTGACTCAAACTTGATCATCAAATATGCTGATGACACCACCATCATCGGTCTCATCAGTGACACTGATGAATCCTCTTATAGAGCAGAGATACAAAATGTGGTTCAGTGGAGTCAAACTAACAACCTCCAGCTGAACGCATCCAAAACATGTGAACTGGTCTACGACTTCAGTCGCAATAGTTCTCATTTGCCTGTCGTAATCGACAACTCCCAGGTGCAGATCGTAGAGGAGTGCAAGTTTCTGGGTTTAACTCTGTCTAACCTGAAATGGGTTAAAAACACTGACCGAGTCGTTAAGAAAGCTCGTCAGCGTCTCTACTTTCTGTGTAAACTTAGAGAATTTACCACTAACTCTAAGATTGTGCTTAACTTTTATCGCTGCACCATTGAGAGTTTACTTGTTGGTTCTGTGTCTGTGTGGTTTGGAAACATCACAGATAAAGAAAAGAGAGCTTTAAACAAGGTGCTCTGCTCTGCAAAGAGGACCGTGGGCTGTGAGACCAGAGAGAGACCAGAGAGAGACCAGAGAGAGACCAGAGAGAGACCAGAGAGAGACCAGAGAGAGACCAGAGAGAGAGACCAGAGAGAGAGACCAGGGAGAGAGACCAGAGAGAGACCAGAGAGAGACCAGAGAGAGACCAGAGAGAGACCAGAGAGAGACCAGAGAGAGACCAGAGAGAGGACCGTGGGCTGTGAGCTTCCTGTTCTGGAGGTTCTTTATAAATCCAGACTTTTAAACAAAGCTCTTAGGATTGTTAATGACTCTTCTGGCCACCCTGGGAAAGCCATGTTCCAGCTTCTTCCCTCTGGCAGAAGATATCGCTCTCTGAGATGCAGGACATCTCGTTATGCTAACAGTTTTTATCCACAAGCTGTTATCAGTGTGAACAGAGCACTTTAATGATTTGCACTTTGTATTGATACCGTTTTAGTCGATCGTTTTCACAGTGACATTTGTTTACTGTTTTATTTGTTTTATTTTAATGTCTGTATTTGTCTGTGCACACTGGAGACTTTTGCTAATGTATTCCCATGTGGTGTTTTCACTGCAAATGGCAAATAAACTGAATCTGAATCCGAATGTATGTTGACGGTGTTTAACGCCACATTGATTTATATGTACTGTCCTTAATTTAGATCAATAAATAAAATAAAATAAAAAATCCACAGTGACTAAACGAACCGCGATAGAAAAATATGTACAATTATCAATAAATAGAATGGCTGAGTTAGCATTAAAAATGACAGGTAAAATGACCACAAAGAGACACGATACAATATAAATAATGTATACACACAACACACACTTATTTTCATCTGCAACAGGGTCGGGTTTGGTGGATTGAATATCTAATCATAAAATAAGAAAAATAAAATGGTTGGAGAAAAAATTATTGAAATCTAGATGGACAGAAAGTGTTATACATGACTGAAAACTCACCCTGAGACGAGTCACTTGTGTTTGGGGGTCGATGAGTCTGTAAAAGAGAGAAGAAAAAAAACACACATATAAATAAATAACAATTAAAATACAATCACTTCTTTGGTATTTTTACAGTTTTTCCTGAAGCTAGAATATAATTGGACCTATAGTCGAGTTGTCATAGTAGCATCGTTCTAATACAATAGTTCAAAATGTAAAAATAACAGTATATATATATTTGTGTACTTGAGGCAGTCGCAGGTGACGAGCAGGTGAGACTCGGTCATTCTGAAGATGTTGTGAATGGCTCGAGCGGCGAGGATCTGCCGCATGGTCTCTGAGATCACGTCTGCGGAGTCCGTCCTCACCTCCATGGAGCCCAGGAACCGAACGATGAAGAGCTGATGCAAGATGGAGTCTGGAGGGACACCATAGACCGAGTATGAGGAGTGGACTAACTAACTGACTCCTATCTAGTGGAGAAAACTGGTTTGACGGTAAGCTAGCTGGAGAAAACGGCCTTATATCAAGTTCAAGTTATGGTGGCGAAATCATCTAAAAACAGGCAGACACAGTAAAATCACAACATTGAAAAAAGCAAGAACAAGAGAGAATGTCACAAAGCTAATTTTCAGTGTAAATATGCTGTTTGTATAAAGTGCGGTGTGCTGTTAAAGTGCTTCACAGCTGCTGGGATAAATGTATTCCCAGCCTTTTTGTCCGGCGCCCAAGAGTCCTAGAGCGCCTAGTACAGTGAGCAGGTGCTGAGAAAACCCAATTCTATCATGAGTTCTTGGGAGCAGTTTGAACCTTTACCTTCAGGACGACGCTTTAGGGCTCTTGGGTAAAGAACAAAAAGGCTGGGAACTACATAAGATAAGACCAGATGAGATACAATTTATTGACTTGTCACTCAGATTGTGAAAAAGACAGAAGTGTGAAACATGTTAAAAGGTAAAAATATAGTCTGTGCAGGATGTAATTATGTACAATAAAAGTGGTAATAAAAGACAGAGTGGTTGCATTGGTAAACAATATGGTTTGTTCTGATGTGGTAAGCTATCCTCTGCATTAGGGGCAGATGTGTTGCTAGCCTGGTTGCTAAGAGAAGCTGGAGTTCCCCACGAATGAAGGCATCTGTCCGGTCAACCCTTATGGCTCATTTATGGATTCACAAAGACATGGTCACTCAAAGCAGTTTTATGCCTTTTAACTAAAAATAATATTGCCCATAAAACTGTTCGTATGGGAAATTAGGTTGGCTGTGTTTGTAGACTAATTCTAAAATTTTGAAAACATATAAATAAATAAATAAAATCTACATATCCCTCTGGTGGTAGCACAGGGAATTACAGGTGGATCGAAAAGTTTATCCTTCAGACTTGTTTCACTGTATGTTCTAGCTAAGATATTATTTCAGGCATGTAAACACAAAGTAAAAAGTATCATTGAATTGAAGGATGCATAATATTTCTTCTTTAAAAGCTTGCCGTCGTACCTTCACTGTCTTCACTGGCCTCGTCTCCAGACTCTCCAAACGGGTTGCTCCTCCTGCCGCTCTGAGCTGAGGTCCGCTGAGGCCCTTCGCTCTCCTCTGTTACCGGGGAGATTATGTCAAACTGAATGGGCGTGTCCGGAGCGACCAAGGCGTCCAATGAGAGCACAGAGAGGGCAGGCGACGGCTCAGACCCCACGGAGGTGATGCTACTGGCCCGAGCCGGCCGGGCCTTACTGCAAAACAGGACCACGGATCAAAGAGTTTACGCAAATTATGATTATGTCTATTATTGATTTTAGTCGTCCTTTAGTAGTCCATTATTGTATTTCTGAAAAACTCACCAACACGATTAATGTACATTTTCGTGCAATTTAGAGAATATTTCCAAAACTACTAATTCTCAAGACCAGAACACAACAATCCACCATCAAACACTCATTATGGCGCATTAAAGTTACGCAAAGTTGACAAAAAGCTGGGCCAGAATAAAATCTGAGTTTAGGTCGAATAGAAATTTCCCAAAAAGTGGCATTTCTTTTTTATCTTGGGATTTTACTCTGGAGTCCTGACTATGCACCTTCTTTTCTTTACTCATCTGTTGTGGTTTTATTGTTATTTGTGTAAATGTGATCTTTATGAATGGGTTTTTAGTGTAGAGGCCAAGTCTCTTTTTACCTGCAAAAAAAATCTACTAACAGGTACAAATAAAGTTGGCTTGGCTTGAACCTGGTCTCTCAATGCAAGTGAATCGTGCTCCTCCCTCTTTTAGCTTCTTTCTACATCTTATTTTGTATGTACAGTATATCTCTGCACTATATATATATATATATATATATATTTTAAAGACTGGTATTGAAGCAGTTACAGCTAGCTAAGAAACAGCAGCTACTCGTGGGCGGCACGGTGGCTGAGTGGATAGCACTCTCGCCTCTCAGCAAGAAGGTCCTGGGTTCAAATCCCGGTCGGACCAGGGCCTTTCTGAGTGGAGTTTGCATGTTCTCCCCGTGTCTGCGTAGGTTTCCTCCGGGCACTCCTAAAAATGTGTCCAATATATGTCCAATAGTTCTGGCATGTGCCTCCTGTACTGGCGACCCCGCTCCCATCTCTGTGTGGAGTGAGAGACAAATGCCCAAACATTAACAATTGTAAACCGCTTTGAGACTCAGATCTGCAGTGAAAAGGCGGTATATAAATAAAGATTACTTACTACTACTACTCACTTATTTTGTATATTTTGTGTGCTCGCTGTGTCTCTTACTACTGTTCTGTCTGTGCGGTGCATCATTGAAATTTCCCCACTGTGGGACGATTAAAGCATTATCTTATTAGTTATTCATAAGAAGGATTTGACAGTCAGAGCTCTGTGAATCCGTGCTTTATTCTAACCTGCCTGAGTGTTACCTGGGCCTCATGCTCTCGTGGCGCTGCTGGAACGATGGCGATGGCGTCACAGCCTCTAGAGCCGTTTGGTTCACTCGCGCCGCTAGCTCCTTCCATCAAAACAAAACCAGATTTAAAAACACATTTATCACCTCTGCTCTGATGAATGAGCCTTCAGACACCCACCTCTGCATTCTCGCTCAAATAAATCCTTCTGGAAATGTTGTTGATGGTGGAGATCCACTACAAACACAGAGAACCAGAGAGTTTTAAAGATCAACTAAGTGCCCAGCCTTAGCCTTTATCCTTTTGGTAGAGAGGGCGCCACACAGACGGTTTCAGGCGCAAAAGTGATATTTTATCTAATTTGCACTAAATGTCAAAGAAATAAAGTTCGTTATTTTAGGATCCTATGCAGACGTACGACTTAGGGAGAGTCACAAGGCATTCATAAATGTTGGGCTATTTTTACCAGATGTAACAAATATAATGGAAGAGACTGAACACAATTAAATTTATTTCTTTTATTCTGCTTCGCTAAACGAAATAAACACCAAAACGCAAAACTATTTCTTTTTAAATTAGAATAGATCCCCAAATGAGAATGTATAAAAACCATATTCCTGATAGCTAAAATGTATGTCATTTTTGTTGTTTTGTTTTCTGTCTTTGAAATGCGAAATTAAAAAAAATATATTGTTGGCAAAAAAAATGTCAAAGAAATTACCAGGATACGTAGAGAGCACGATAAACATATTTATGCAGTTTAGTAAAAAAAAAGTTGATTTGGGGTTTGTCCTTTAAGGTTTCCGTCACATCCACCACAGAATCAATCACACTGAGAAACCTGTGGAGCTGTTAGTAACAATAATAATAATAATAACACATTTGATTAATTTGGTGCCTTTCTATGCACTCAGGATCCCCTCACAAACAACTGTACACATTTTAAAGCAAAAACAGTTAAAATAGACAGTGAAATGTAGGGTCATAGTGAGTGGGCCAGTCTGTTGGTTATTCTCACCAACAAGTTTAACCCATATCAACTGCTTTTACTAGTTTACTACTTTTTGTTCCTGTCAATTTCAAGCAAACACATGTTGAAACTGTAAATATACAAACACATGTTGAAACTACGGCCAATACCGTCGCTAGATTGTATATTTATTAGTGCTGTCCAATGATTAAAATATTTAATCGCGATTAATTACATGAATTTCATAGTTAACTCGCGATTAATCGCAAATTAGTCACACATTTGTATCTATTCTTTATGTCCCTTGAATTAATAAAAATAAAATAAAAATAATAAAATAAAATAAATAATAATAATAAAATAAAATAAAAAATGAATGAATAAGTAGATAAATATAATAATAACATGAATAATATGTGCATATGTGCATATAATGATAATACACAAGTCAGGGTAAGCGAAAGCTTATTTTAATGCATGACACGTTTAGTTAAGAAAAACACTTGGGAAAAAGGAACAAAATAAGAGAGGGAATGGGCCGGGCGTGGGCTCCCTCCCCCCCTTTTTGGGGTGGGGGCCTGCTTGGGGGTCTGTGTGTGTGTGTCGGATTTGGTTTTGATGTTGGCTGGGTTCCGCTTAGCTTGGTGAAACTCAGGCGGGCAGACTTTATATCTTATCTGTGGGGTGTATGTGTGTGTGTGTGTGGAGTGTGTGTGTTTATGGGTGTGGGTGTGTGTGTGTATGTGTGGGTATAGACCATAGACTGTATAGAAACATCATGGTGTCATTATGATGATGATAAACAATCTGTAAATATTTTGTAAATTTGTTCATGTAAATACTCTATGCTGTTTCTCTGTTTACTTTCGGTATATCTATGACTGTATACTGTTTGCTTGTATTGCCTTTTTTATTAACCCCTCCCCCCCATCTCCCACTTCAAATCATCTCAAAACTGTGAGAAAAGGCATGCTGGGTACTTTTGGGGATTTAAAACGATGTAAAATGTTATAACCATGAAACCATCAGAGCGAGGAGACCGTAAAAGCAAAACAGCGGGAAACTAATAAGGTCTCTGCTGGACGTGTGAGTAAACATCAGACCAGAGGGAACTGATGCATTTAAAAAGGTATAAAAGGAGGATTTTCCCATATTTTAGGAAAGGAACCACTCTCTCCACTCTTGTCTTATTGGACGAGCACGTATCACCAGAATGATTGACAATTAGGAGGACCAATAGTATTAATGATCCACCCGGAAGTCGAAAATCCTCCTATAATATACCTTTAAGTGAATGAATAGACACATAAGTGCAGTCGGACGGATGAAGATTTTGATAAGACAAAAGCAAAAAAAAGATCAAGCAGACCTCGTCACAGTCCTTTCTGCTCTCGGCCTGCAACGTCACCGCTCTGGGGAAAGACGGAAAACATGGAAGTTCATGGCTGGAAGATGAATCGCTTGAGTAAGTATTTTTTTTATTCATACAGCGCATTCACTCAACACCCACAGTAACGACAGAGGCGGGTCTGGAGCACAGCGGGCCACCAGAGCTTCCATCATACATGTTTTAAATCTGCACGGAGACATGGGGAGAACATGCAAACCCCACACAGAAAAGGTTCGAGGCCCGTTGGCATTTTACACCTTGCCCAGGGACTAAAGTTGGAAACTAGCGGTATAGCTAATACACTGACACATTTACAGTTATGTTGAGTAATGTGGTCTGTCCCTATAAGAATTACGATAATGTATTCTTTGAACTCTTGCTTTGAACTGTTAATCATTATACACTGACAAAAATTAGAAAATATGAGGTAATATTGGCTTGAATTGAGTGGTTTTTATCATAATTTGAGCACATTATGACAAACAAGATTCTCCAAAAGCCATTTAGTGTCATTTCAAGAACTGTAGCTTTATTTTCTCATTCAAGGGACACATTTCTTGTATATTTCTTGAATATTTGTCATGTCCCATTGGCAAATCTTGTTTTAAGCCAGTCACAATGTTTAAATTAAAACACATTTTGCTTATTTTTTTTAATCACATTTTGCAGTTCAGCCCCCATTCTCATCTCTCCTCATCGTGACCTAAACCCATGGATAGAACTCTCACTTCTTGCCGTCGAAGGCCGTGACCTGGAAGCAGAAGCGCCGGTCGTCAGAGTCCACGGCCATCACGGAGCTGTTGTCCAGGTCCATGACGAGGCCCCCAGCCACCTCCCCCCGGGCCTGCTGCATCAGGTTCCCCCCCTGGGTGAAGAAGTACTGCCGCTCCCAGGACGACGAGACCAGCCCCGTTTTACTGACACACACAGAGGGGCAAAAGGTACTTAGTCAGTCCTCCCACTTAAAACACGAGAGATGGATTCATATCAATACTAGACCTAATTCTGCTCATCTATAACACACTATATATTGTATTCTTTTAATCTTGTTCTTTCTTCTGGATTGTGTTACTATTTAATGTCTGTATCACGTTGTGTATCATGTCTCTTGCGATTTAGAGGACCCCTATCGAAAACAAGAGGCTTCATCTCTAGGGGCTTATCCTCCCAGTAAATATATAAAATAAAATGGATCATAAGTGCTCAAAGTAAGAAAAAAAAGTCCAGAGGATCACATCTGATTATTAAGAAATGTGTTTGGAAATTATGCTGGAAAATACGTTTTTAGTCAATAACAAAAGTCCATCACACACTTTTGGATTTCAATGTGGTTTTACGGAAAGTGGCAAAAAAACTGAATCTGTAGCAGTTAGGAATTATCACAGGGACTATTGTGGTAAAGGGTTATCACAGGGACTATTGTAGTAAAGGGTTATAACAGGGACTATTGTAGTAAAGGGTTATAACAGGAACTATTGTAGTAAAAGGGTTATCACAGGGACTATTGTAGTAAAGGGATATCACAGGGACTATTGTAGTAAAGGGTTATAACAGGGACTATTGTAGTAAATGGTTATCACAGGGACTATTGTAGTAAAGGGATATCACAGGGACTATTGTAGTAAAGGGTTATAACAGGGACTATTGTAGTAAATGGTTATCACAGGGACTATTGTAGTAAAGAGTTATCACAGGGACCATTGTAGTAAAAGGGTTATCACAGGGGCTATTGTAGTAAAGGGTTATCACAGGGGCTATTGTAGTAAAGGGTTATCACAGGGACTATTGTAGTAAAGGGTTATCACAGGGACTATTGTAGTAAAGGGTTATCACAGGGACTATTGTAGTAAAGGGTTATAACAGGGACTATTGTAGTAAAGGGTTATCACAGGGACTATTGTAGTAAAGGGTTATCACAGGGACTATTGTAGTAGTAAAGACAGTTATCACAGGGACTATTGTAGTAAAGGGTTATCACAAGGACTATTGCAGTAGTAAATACAATATTTATCATAGGGACTATTGTAGTAGTAAATACAATAGTTATCACAGGGACTATTGCAGTAGTAAATACAATATTTATCATAGGGACTATTGTAGTAGTAAATACAATAGTTATCACAGGGACTATTGCAGTAGTAAATACAATATTTATCATAGGGACTATTGCAGTAGTAAATACAATAGTTATCACAGGGACTATTGCAGTAGTAAATACAATAGTTATCACAGGGACGATTGCAGTAGTAAATACAATAGTTATCACAGGGACTATTGTAGTAGTAAAGACAGTAGTTATCACAGGGACTATTGTAGTAGTAAATACAATAGTTATCACAGGGACTATTGTAGTAGTAAATACAATAGTTATCACGTGGACGATTGCAGTAGTGAATACAATAGTTATCACAGGGACGATTGCAGTAGTAAATACAATAGTTAGCACAGGGACGATTGCAGTAGTAAATACAATAGTTAGCACAGGGACGATTGCAGTAGTAAATACAATAGTTAGCACAGGGACGATTGCAGTAGTAAATACAATAGTTATCACAGGGACTATTGCAGTAGTGAATACAATAGTTATCACAGGGACGATTGCAGTAGTGAATACAATAGTTAGCACAGGGACGATTGCAGTAGTGAATACAATAGTTATCACAGGGACGATTGCAGTAGTGAATACAATAGTTATCACAGGGACGATTGCAGTAGTAAATACAATATTTATCATAGGGACTATTGCAGTAGTAAACACAATAGTTATCACAGGGACTATTGTAGTAGTAAAGACAGTAGTTATCACAGGGACTATTGTAGTAGTAAATACAATAGTTACCACAGGGACTATTGCAGTAGTAAATACAATAGTTATCACAGGGACGATTGCAGTAGTGAATACAATAGTTATCACATGGACGATTGCAGTAGTAAATACAATAGTTAGCACAGGGACGATTGCAGTAGTAAATACAATAGTTAGCACAGGGACGATTGCAGTAGTAAATACAATAGTTAGCACAGGGACGATTGCAGTAGTGAATACAATAGTTATCACAGTGACGATTGCAGTAGTGAATACAATAGTTATCACAGGGACGATTGCAGTAGTGAATACAATAGTTATCACAGGGACGATTGCAGTAGTGAATACAATAGTTATCACAGGGACGATTGCAGTAGTGAATACAATAGTTATCACAGGGACTATTGCAGTAGTGAATACAATAGTTATCACAGGGACGATTGCAGTAGTAAATACAATAGTTAGCACAGGGACGATTGCAGTAGTAAATACAATAGTTAGCACAGGGACGATTGCAGTAGTAAATACAATAGTTAGCACAGGGACGATTGCAGTAGTAAATACAATAGTTATCACAGGGACGATTGCAGTAGTGAATACAATAGTTATCACAGGGACTATTGCAGTAGTGAATACAATAGTTATCACAGGGACGATTGCAGTAGTAAATACAATAGTTAGCACAGGGACGATTGCAGTAGTAAATACAATAGTTAGCACAGGGACGATTGCAGTAGTAAATACAATAGTTAGCACAGGGACGATTGCAGTAGTAAATACAATAGTTAGCACAGGGACGATTGCAGTAGTAAATACAATAGTTAGCACAGGGACGATTGCAGTAGTAAATACAATAGTTAGCACAGGGACGATTGCAGTAGTAAATACAATAGTTAGCACAGGGACGATTGCAGTAGTAAATACAATAGTTAGCACAGGGACGATTGCAGTAGTAAATACAATAGTTAGCACAGGGACGATTGCAGTAGTAAATACAATAGTTAGCACAGGGACGATTGCAGTAGTAAATACAATAGTTAGCACAGGGACGATTGCAGTAGTGAATACAATAGTTATCACAGGGACTATTGCAGTAGTGAATACAATAGTTATCACAGGGACGATTGCAGTAGTAAATACAATAGTTAGCACAGGGACGATTGCAGTAGTAAATACAATAGTTAGCACAGGGACGATTGCAGTAGTAAATACAATAGTTAGCACAGGGACGATTGCAGTAGTAAATACAATAGTTAGCACAGGGACGATTGCAGTAGTAAATACAATAGTTAGCACAGGGACGATTGCAGTAGTAAATACAATAGTTAGCACAGGGACGATTGCAGTAGTAAATACAATAGTTAGCACAGGGACGATTGCAGTAGTAAATACAATAGTTAGCACAGGGACGATTGCAGTAGTGAATACAATAGTTATCACAGGGACGATTGCAGTAGTGAATACAATAGTTATCACAGGGACGATTGCAGTAGTGAATACAATAGTTATCACAGGGACGATTGCAGTAGTGAATACAATAGTTATCACAGGGACTATTGCAGTAGTGAATACAATAGTTATCACAGGGACGATTGCAGTAGTAAATACAATAGTTAGCACAGGGACGATTGCAGTAGTAAATACAATAGTTAGCACAGGGACGATTGCAGTAGTAAATACAATAGTTAGCACAGGGACGATTGCAGTAGTAAATACAATAGTTATCACAGGGACGATTGCAGTAGTGAATACAATAGTTATCACAGGGACTATTGCAGTAGTGAATACAATAGTTATCACAGGGACGATTGCAGTAGTAAATACAATAGTTAGCACAGGGACGATTGCAGTAGTAAATACAATAGTTAGCACAGGGACGATTGCAGTAGTAAATACAATAGTTAGCACAGGGACGATTGCAGTAGTAAATACAATAGTTAGCACAGGGACGATTGCAGTAGTAAATACAATAGTTAGCACAGGGACGATTGCAGTAGTAAATACAATAGTTAGCACAGGGACGATTGCAGTAGTAAATACAATAGTTAGCACAGGGACGATTGCAGTAGTAAATACAATAGTTAGCACAGGGACGATTGCAGTAGTAAATACAATAGTTAGCACAGGGACGATTGCAGTAGTAAATACAATAGTTAGCACAGGGACGATTGCAGTAGTAAATACAATAGTTAGCACAGGGACGATTGCAGTAGTGAATACAATAGTTATCACAGGGACTATTGCAGTAGTGAATACAATAGTTATCACAGGGACGATTGCAGTAGTAAATACAATAGTTAGCACAGGGACGATTGCAGTAGTAAATACAATAGTTAGCACAGGGACGATTGCAGTAGTAAATACAATAGTTAGCACAGGGACGATTGCAGTAGTAAATACAATAGTTAGCACAGGGACGATTGCAGTAGTAAATACAATAGTTAGCACAGGGACGATTGCAGTAGTAAATACAATAGTTAGCACAGGGACGATTGCAGTAGTAAATACAATAGTTAGCACAGGGACGATTGCAGTAGTAAATACAATAGTTAGCACAGGGACGATTGCAGTAGTGAATACAATAGTTATCACAGGGACGATTGCAGTAGTGAATACAATAGTTATCACAGGGACTATTGCAGTAGGGTTAGTTACTTGCGTATGAAGAGGTATCCCTGTTTGCGGGTGAGGTTGCGGCTCACGGGGGAGTGGACCGGGTCCGGGTCACATGGTGCGTACAGTGGGTCTGACGTGGTCTCCATTTGCTGAATGGTCTCCTGCATCTGGCCCACCTCCTCCTCCATCTCCCGCCGCACGCTGAGGAGAGAGCGCCACAGAGAGAGTGGAGAGGGCCCAAAAACCATCTTTCCAATTGGTCAGAAAAATAGTTTTAAAGAAAGCTCTTACTTTTGAACGCTGGCTCCGATCGTTCCCAGGAACTCCTCCCACTGCTGCGTGAGGTTCTCCGAGCCCAATTTAAAGAAACTGATCTGCAACAGAAGGTTTCAGTTTCAGAAAGGACTTGAAATCAAAAGAACGGCGTCAGTGAAGAAGAAGAAGAACCAGTTTGATTCCAGAGACAAAAGGGTCAAACATGGATCACGGACAGGTCTGTCTGACACAGTGGGGAAATTTCAGTTTTGTATCGCCAGTTACAGAACAGTAGGAATGAGGAGCACACAAACACAAGATAAATGAACAATAATGCTATACTAAATAAAAAAAATAAAAAAAAAATCGCTAGCTTTAGCAAAATAAGGGAGCAAGTTTAAGTAAAATATATCTGACTTTAGCATAATAAAGCTGTATTAACTCAATAGCTTTAGCATAATAAAGCAGCAAGTATAAAAAGGACTGAACAGAACACGTTTGCCGCCCACTCTCCCTGTTGTGACAAAGAAAAGAAAATGCTGGATGTTTGGTTTGGTGGAGAGGGAGGGGAGGGGGGAGTGGTTTCCAGTTGGGGCCACGGCTAAGCTAACAAAATCGCTTACTTTAGCATAGTATAGAAGTAAGTATAAAATCTCTAACTTTAGCATGATAAAGAAGCTAGTAAAAAATCTCTAGCTTCATCATAATAAATACGTATAAAATAGTAAGGGGACAAAGCATAGTCCTGATTTTCTCCTATGGGGGACCAATAAAGTATCTATCTATCTATCTATCTATTTCCCTGTGTGGGTTGAGCTGGTGGTGAGCCATGCGGCCGCTGCGATGAAAAAGGTTCCATCCCTGATTTGCCGAACGTGTCGTGTGAGATCACCTGCGCCTGCATGTATCCCAGCAGCGGCTCCAGCAGGGCGGTCTTCTTCTTGTACTGCAGAGTGTTGAGGGAGCAGAAATAGTGCATCATGGTCTGGTGCTGCTTTTTACGAGCCGTGTACACGTCCTCCACAGCCTCGGCGCGCGCCTGAACGCACCGCAACAGAAGGTCATGTATGTGTCCGAAAACTTCAAACTAAAACATTTAACTCAAGAGTTCTGTCAAATACATTCAATTCACCTTGTCATTGTCTCTCCTCTTGGACAAGCGGCTGTAGCGGTTTATGGCCATATCGTGGTCTGGAATATCACACGCATGTCAAAAAGAATTGTTAAAAGGTTCAAGTTTTTCTTTGCTGATGCAGGAGGGTCTAAGGACAGAGGTGATAATCCCAGATACTCGACATTCAACAACATTTATGGACATTTATCAACATTTATGGACATTTATCAACATTTATGGACATTGGTCATCTTCCCCGTATGGACCAATGGCTCTATGTTTGTTATTACTGCATTTCTTCTGTTTTAACCGTTTGATTTTCTGATCTGTGTTGGCGAATCGACGGTATTGTGAAGTCCTTTGAGATAACTACTGTTGTGATTTTAGGGCAACACAAAATAAAGTGAATTGAAATTGAATTAACTATTATGATTTTTGTTGTTGTTGTTGTTGTTACTGATTTGATGCAAAGGTAGAAATTATCCTCATGAATTTATCGGCCAGTTGTTAACTAATGAACCAAAAAACTTAGGGACAGTGATCTAAACTCCTCAAACTTTGCAGTCAGGGAGCTTTGAATGCCACCATTACTAAATAACACTGAGTATGGAATGTTGTGTATTTGAATCATTGGTCTAAATCCCACTTAAGTTGTTAGGGTTAGGGTTTTCTTGTGTGAAATAAATTGTGAAATACAGAGAAAAGTATATAAAATTTTATCATGAAATCATTTTGTGTCTCCTCCAGCTTTGTCTCTGGCTCTAGCTGCATAGGGAGCCCCCTGCTGGAGAAGTATGGTAACTTGAGCACTATCCTCTCCTCCTTGCTACTTTATCTGTTTAGCATTATTAGGATTTTGACTGTAGTTTGTTCATTGCTATTCACCCGTTGTCCCATTGTCTGTTTCATGGTGTGACGACGGGATCTCTGAGCCTGGCCTCCTCCATCTACACCTGCGGACTGCCCCGCCCGACCCGCCTGGGAGTGCTTCAGTCCTGCACCGGACCTGTCCACGTTCAGCGGCCACTGGTCCACGTTCTGTAGCTAGCTTAGGTCCTGGATCATTAGCCTGTCTGTCCGGAGGAGCGGATCCCTTTCTCATATGGGTCTCCCTCCCTGTGGGTTTCCCTAGTTCTCCCCAAGGTTTCTCACTTTTTAAGAGTTGTTCCTTGTGGATGCAGGAGGGTCTTGTTGGACAGTTAGTGTCCAACAGAAAGGATTGGTGATGATCAGGACACTTTAGCATTCTACAACATGTATGGACATTTTCTTCTGTGTGTGTTTTATATTCCCCTGACCCAGAAATGGATTAAAGGGTAGAAAATGGATGGATGGATGTGTTTTAACTGTTGATTCTCTGACCTGTGTTGGTGATTTCAATGGTTTTGTTAAGTCCTCTGAGATGACTTCTGTTGTGATTTAGGTCTATACAAGATTGTATTGTATTGTATCGTATCGTATTGTAGCACAGGCTCAGAATGACTCACCGTCACTAGAAATTTGGAAAACCTCCTTCAGAGTAAGAATCTCTGCAACAAAGAGAAGACACCGATTGGTAAACACGTAAAAAACACATACTATTTTTAATCACAAACACATGTTCAGTCTCTAACCTTTGAGATCTCGCTCTTTGAACTGCGTGATGGGGAACATCATGGCGTCGGCGAGTTGAGTCGATAAAACAGCGTGACATGAGCTCAACTGGAAACATGAAAAATGTGTGTATCTGAAACTAAACATCGCCAGATCGCCAGAGCAGGAGAATAAAGAAAGAGAATAAAGATTGCGTTATAAAAAAAGGAGAAAAAACAATTTAAAGTACCTAAATTTTATATTAGATCTTTTTTTTATGTCCCCAGATAAGAGGTCACATGCACAAGAAGTTATCCTTAATTAAATATACTACAGATATGAGGTCCATAATATTCATCTATATGTTTTTCAAGCTTATCATCCAAATCAGAGGTTGCCAGGTAAGTGAAATGTAGCTGGTTTTGGCTCAATAAAAAAAAAATAAAAAAAATCACAAACCAAAAATAGCACCACACTTAATTTTGAATGAAAGCAGATAACAAAGAACTTCATCCCCACCGCTGTCAGACTGTACAATAAGTCACTTTAATGACCTGCACTCAGATTGAAAAACATCTGTAGCCACTTTTAATTGTTATTGTTCATATTTAGCACAAAAGAGACAATATTTTTAACCTTTTAACATGTTTGCACACTTCCTGACTTTTTGCACAACCTTGAGTGATACTATTTATGCAAAATGTGACGTATAAATCCATCCATCCATCCATTTTCTTCCCCTTAATCCATTTCTGGGTCAGGGGGGTGGCAGTTAAAGCTGCACCCAGTACACACAGCACCAGCCCCTCACTGATCCTCCTGCAGGTGCTGAGTCCACAGGAGCTGAGATCTTTCAGCGGGGGCTTTGGGCAAGTGCCTTGCCCAAGGACACAACGGCAGCAGATATCAGAGGGAGTCGTGAAGTAGGTCTTACAGTGGGCTCAAACCCACAACCTTCAGGCCCAAAGGCCTATGCTCTACCAACTGAGCTACTGTACTTGATTTATCTTGTCTAGCAGCAAGATTCTGGCAACACACCTCATAATGTAACTGTATTGACTTTATCAGACGACTACATACGGTTCCTTTAAAGTGGACATATCGTGTTTTCAAATAATTGATTTTTACATCTAAATCATTCATTTGTGGCCTATATAAAGCGTAACTGCAATGCCTGGGTCTGAGTCTCATTATTTGTAGCTCCACGGGCCTTTCTTCTACACCTGTTCTGAGGTGCGTCTGAGAGCAACCTGTTTTGGTGCTGTCTCTTTAAATGCAAATGAGGCGCTTTTGACCATTCTCAACGGATTTACACTTCTCATAAACATGTGTTTTGTATGAGGCAGACAGACCGGCCCAAATATGGGCATCGGCCCTTTGGGCATTACCCGGTACGCCCGATGGCCAGTCCAGCCCTGTTCACTGGCATCCTTGAGCTTGGACTACAAATTCGAAGTGATGCACAGTAGAGGAGGGCTGGGCCGAAGTGTTTTGTTAGACGCCCATGCCCTTATATAGCAGTCTCGCTGCAAATACTGTGACGTAATAATTCTAAACACGTAATAGAGAATGGCAAAATCAGAACGGGTTGAAAAATCTTACCTAAACAGAAAATGAAGTGTTCTCTGCAACCCATGAAGAGACTGATTTCAACTTTTTTGCACTTCTAGAGGCTCCAACTTCACAATATAAGGCATTTAAGGCACAAAAAGTGGATTTTTCATGATATGTCCCCTTTAATACCAAACAAAAAAAGCCTGTCCTTACCTCGTCAATGACTTTAGCAAACTGTTGCAGAGTGGAGCTCATCACCTCGTCGTCGCCTCCTAGAGGAAAACGCTGAACATGACACAGTGAGTGAAACGGCAGCTCCATGAGATGTTCTCTTTAACTACATTAACAACCATCACCTGTTTGTCGTACTCTTTGAGCAGTCTGGACGTCAGGTGAGTCGCCGCGCTGAGCTCATTCTGAAACATGTAAAAACGCTCAGAACAGACTTATAGCATGTGTCAACTTTTATTACATATATTTGTAGCAACTCATTTTTCTCTCCGCGGTTCTTACAAATGTACTTTGAAATGTTACGTTTACGATCTTCAATTCAGTTCAATTTGTTTTTGTCTAGCCCTAAATGAAAACAGCAGTAATGTCGAAGGACTATGCAACAATAAAAAAAACACACATTGAGCCATTGGTCCATAAGGGGTGGATAACTAACTTCCATAAATGTTGTTAAAAGTCCTGGATCCTCACCCCTGTCCTTAGACCAGGGATCTCCAACCTTTTTCAATCTGAGGGCTACTTTTATACAACAGACGAGGCAGAGAGCTACTCCTACTTTTTGCAGTCTTAATAAAAATCTATGCAATAATTAAGACAAGAGAGAACACATGTAAATATACCATAATACTGTATAACCTTGTATTTTTACAGTGGGGAAAAAGCAAGAAAACTCTGGGAGGCCCTCGACCCCCCTTAGGCTTTAAATCCAGGACTCAGGCTGTATCACCGGGGCTTACATTGACGGAATATGAATGCTATACAACTATTTTTTCTCTCTGTGGTTCTTACGAGTATAATGTGAAATGTTATGTTTATGATTTTAGTGAAGAAACAACAGTATTCCCTCTCTGTTATGGGGTGAGGTTTATGGCGGGCACCTGTGCGTCGTAGATCCGGTGCATGGCCTGGTAAAGCTGAGCGCAGTAGTTGGAGATGGCGGCAGTGTCCTCCTCGAAAACACCAAGCAGAGAACGGGTCTGAAACCACAGAAAAACACACAAGGTTGAGCAAAACGTGTGCGGGTCTGTCCTCTGCATTTGACCCGTCCTCCAATGTCAGGAGCAGTGGTCGCCCTCTCTCTCTGTCAGGACTGCCAGAGTGGGAGGGTTTAACCTACAGAGTATGTTTGGTGCCTGCAGAAAACCCACCCGGAGAACATGCAAACTTCACACAGAATGGCCCAAGCCGACACGGAATCAAACCTGTGACACTGCTTGATGTGAGCTACTGACTCGGGCACTGCTTCACCAAGTAAAAACATAAACTTCATGACACAAAATGCACTGAAGGATGAGTCACTACATCACAGGATAGATTTAAATGTATCTGTGCTATTTTTTTTATACAGTATAATATCAAAAATGGTTTTATACAGCGCTTTTTTGGACACTTGAAGGCACTTTAGCCATAGCTTCCCTGGGGCTCACTGACAGAGGTGAGCCAACCATTCATTCATTGGTTGGAGGATGAATTTCGCTCAAGCTGATTGGATGTTAGTTTAAAGAGATAATGCGCCATGTTGGCTCGGAACGGAACTGCCTTTCCATTCGCAAAAACAACAGTGAAGAACCAAAATGGCGTCGGCACAGAAGTAGTTTCCACCAAAGGTAAACTGTTGCTCTTCGGGTAATCAAGAATAAATAAGCAATAATATGCTTTTTTGTCAGTTACACGTGACTATGGGACTATTTCTTTGGCATCTCATGTTTTAGAAAATAAAAGTACAAAACATATGGATAAACATGTATAGATTAATATAACAAAATATATATCCCATTCTGTAATTCTTCATCTCAACCACCAGGTGGAGGTGTTGAATGTATTTTATTTTTCCAACATCAAACATTCCATTCCGCAAAAAACAGCCACAGGTTGATAAGCCTTTATTAGTTCCACAGTGGGGAAAGTTCGATGTCATTGTTGCGCACATTACAGCAAAGAAGGAAATAATACAGAGGTAAGTCACTGACAGAGGTGAGCCAACCATTCATTCACACACCAGACTCATTCATGGGCAATGTGCGTGAAGTGTCTTGCCAAAGGACACAAAGACAGTTTGGTACTTTACCAAACTGTGGTACCTGGTGTTCCCAGAGGTCTCCCATCACAGTACTAACAAGGCCTTGCCCTGCCTAGCTTCAGAGGTCTGACGGATCTGGCTTTCACATGCAGGTGGCTCCACAAGATATAAATGAACTTTTGTAGACTCAACATTGACAGAATATAATTATTAGAGAGATTATTTGGAGCATTTGAGATTTTTATTTTTTTAATCACAGATGGAATTGATCTTAATTTAACCCTGAATAAACCCTGAATAAATGTTTGTTTTTTTAAATACTAAAAACATAAAATACTGTAAAACAAACAATATCGGAAGCTTGTCGTCACAATAAATGTTCGTGACATTTCCACAAAAACATCGAGGTGTTGGCTGCATTTTAAAAAGCTTTGAACTAATTCTCGAGGCTAAAATGTCTCGTCTCCTTCTTACCTCGAGTGTAATGTAATCTGAAACTCGTGAAATAGTTCTGAGAGAGTGTAATACAGGATGTTGTGAGGAAGGAAGAAAGATGCCCTTTTGAAAACATAGACAAATTGTGTGCTCCTTTGCATTGTATTAGTGTTATTGTTTTGTTTTTTAGTTGGCATTTTACATTTTTTTATTTTATCTCAAGCATGTGACCCTCCTTGTAGCAACTTTAAACAATTCAATTTCCCTTTGCAGCTTTGAATCACTGATTTGTGTGTGTTTTGTTCTAGAAATATGATCGCCTCACCAGTGTCCTAAATATTGTGTCATTATCACCAAACTGTGTCAGCCACACCCATTGAACTGGTTGCGTCTATAAAAGCAGATTTCTTCTTAAAGCTGGGGTACCGAACTCTATTTTCCCATAAATAATCTTGTAAAAGTAAAAGGAACAAATCAAACCACTACATTTCGTCTTCATCTTTTTGGAACACATAACTATTTGCAAACTAATGAGAAAGAGCCCTGGGAATAAATATTTGACGCTTTGGGCTGAGATCTGATTGGCTGGCGTGGTCCTCGTGTGAGACAGAGCCCAAACATACATGCATGTGAAAACTAGAATCAAGAATTATTTTATCACAAACAAGGACATTGCTTTGACTTTAGGTGCAAACATGTTACAACAGATTACTATAAGGCATGCATAAAAAATATATAAAGTATATCAACATACATTTCTTCAAGAATTAGTTAGCATCCATCCATCCATCCATCCATTTTCTACCCTTTAATCCATTTCTGGGTCAAGTCTCATAGCACCAGCCCCTCACTGACCCTCTGCAGGTGGTGAGTCCACAGGAGGACGGCTGCTCTCTGAGTGTGAGCATAGCCTTGATCTTTCAGTGGGGGCTTTGGGCAAAGTGGGGTTAAGTGTCTTGCCCAAGGACAGCAGTCATCAGTGGGAGTCGGTGGAGAAGGTGTAGAGGTGGGAATTGAACCCCCGACCTTCAGGCCTGAAGGCCAATGCTCTACCAACTGAGCTACTGTCGAATTTGAATCAATTCAGTTTGTAGTTAGCAAACATGTTAAAACAAATTAGAATATGGCATGCAAAAAATAAAAAAATAAATCAACATACATTCTTCAAATTAGGTACAGAACCAAGAACTATCTACGTGTATATTATTTATGACATAGAATTTGTTTATAGTTTGAACGTCAGGTACCCCAGCTTTAGTGTATGAATTGCACAACAATTGTATTCACGTCAGTCTCAGTTGCCACAGTTGTTAGCTTGAGTGAAGTGGACTGCTAGCAAGAGGCTAAGGAACTCCCAGGCTAGTTGTGGAGTTTTTGTTATTAATGCCACAGGTTTAATGCACATATATCAGCCTAATCTTTGGATGATCTGGTTTAAAACTTTTGCACAAGAATGTAAACACGTAATCTGACATCAGCTGCAGACAGAGGTGTTAGCTGTTAGCTCTGCGGCTACAAAGACCATAGAGGGCTAGCTTCCACTTCACCCCAGTTCACCGACCTGCGGGCTGTCCTCCAGGGTCTCCTCGATCGGCAGCTTCTCTATCCCGGGCATGGCAGCGGCTGGGGCTCGCTACTTACGCTGAATTACAGGCAAAATATTAGGAAAATAGCACCCGACAACTCCCACGAAATCACAACACCCAAAACAGACCCACCCGCTGAGGACCTCCCACCCCCAAACCGGGTTCTGATTGGTTGGAGGATGAATTTCGCTCAAGCTGATTGGATGTTAGTTTAAAGAGATAATGCGCCATGTTGGCTCTGAATGGTACTGCCTTTCCATTCGCAAAAACAACAGTGAAGAACCAAAATGGCGTCGGCACAGAAGTAGTTTCCACCAAAGGTAAACTGTTGCTCTTCGGGTAATCAAGAATAAATAAGCAATAATATGCTTTTTTGTCAGTTACACGTGACTATGGGACTATTTCTTTGGCATCTCATGTTTTAGAAAATAAAAGTACAAAACATATGGATAAACATGTATAGATTAATATAACAAAATATATATCCCATTCTGTAATTCTTCATCTCAACCACCAGGTGGAGGTGTTGAATGTATTTTATTTTTCCAACATCAAACATTCCATTCCGCAAAAAACAGCTACAGGTTGATAAGCCTTTATTAGTCCCACAGTGGGGAAAGTCCGATGTCATTGTTGCTCACATTACAGCAAGGAAGGAAATAATAGCACTCAGATTGCACACATCAAACAGGATCTATTAGATAATAGAATATTTAGTAAGATAATAAAAGTCCAGTCCAGTTCAGTGTGAAATGAACACCCAAGTAATTTCCCCTGAGAATTCTCAACAACAAAAAAGTTTTAAAATGCACAAAGGATTTATTGTGCAATTTACATAATATCTAAGAACTAACTAATAATAATTACTTTAGAAATAACTCTAATTCCAATTCTTGTTACCAGAATGGCTGAAACTCACACATCACTTCTTTGTATATATCATAAAAATATATCTATATATTTATTGTTGGCAACATATACCAAGTTTGTGACTTCCTGTTACTTACAAGGGAAATGAAATAATTCTGATTCTCCTGTAGCCCTCGGTATCTTTAAAGTCGTTACATGACTGTGGAGGAAACGAAAAGGATGTCTTCTGGTCCTCTTTTTCCTCAAGAGAACCATTCCCTGGATCTGTGCTTCCCAATGTGGGGTCTCAGGCCCCACTGTGGGGGGTTGTCCACACAACTAGCAATTAGTATTTCAAATCAACAAATATTTTATTGTAATTAATAATTGCTTATTACTAATTAAGCAGGGAAAGTGTATTTGTAGGGCACAAATCTTACACTGGGAAATTCAAGAGGGCTTTGCAAAACAAGAAACATTCAAATCAAACAAAGCCATTTCAATTGAACAACATTCAATTTGAAAATCTTCAGAATAGAAACTGTTGTCTCACATTTTCAGGAAGACAGTTGTTCGGCCGCAGTTAGCTCTAACGACCCCATTAACATCTCCATGCGAGGGGAAAGGAAGACTGAAAATGTGATCGTGATAACTTATTGTAATCATTTGTCCAGAGTGAACCAGGTCCAATAGTGCCCTACACTTATTATTACACAAATACTGTCATGTGTAATCTTGTTTATGGGCCTGATTCTAATGCAGATACATGTCCAAATCCATCTATCTGGCTTCAAATGTGTCACAAACCTTTTGACTTCACGTTTTGTGTAAAGATGAGTAAAGGGAGAGCTGGGTTGATCAGAAACATGAGAGCTCTGAGACAGACTTTCACTGTGTCATGACTCGATCTAGGGCTGGGCGATATGGCAAAAAACTAAAATCTCGATTTTATTTCCTGCTTTGGACGATGTCGATTTTAAATCGATTTTCATTAAAGTCACTCAAGACAGACTTTGCCCTTAAAATATTTTTTATTTTGCCGCTCAATATTTAAGTTTCAAAACTATTTTTAATTTGTTTCCCCCAATACATAATATTAAAGTCTAGTACAGACTGTGCTGATATCGCAAGTATAATTGATGTGCTGCTGGAACTCTCACAATATGCCTCATTCGATTTCACGATTTTCATATTTTTCACGAATTTGATTTTTTCAAAAGCCGATTAATTGCCAAAATTCGATTTATTGCCCAGCCCTAACTCGATCCAAGTCCAACAGATGTGTATTAACAGAAGTCACGTGTCTCTTCTCCTCTATAGACACCATCCGTTCTCGTCCAGCTGAGGTGCAGTCTGCTCTAACGGCCACATTAACATCTCCATGCTCGGAAAAACAATGCTCCAGACCCTCCCTCTTAAGTACCCCTTTTGAATCAATTCAGTTTGCACACTGTACAATTGAGTGGTTGACAAATAGAACATTTTGCTTTAAAGTCGAATCATCAGAAAAACACAATACAATCTATTCTTGTATAGCCCTAAATCACAACAGTATCATCTCAGACGCCTTAACAAAACCATTGAAATCACCAACACAGATCAGAGAATCAACAGTTAAGACACAGAAAAACACAACCATTCATGCACACACCTCTCATTCATGGGCAATGTGTGTGAAGTGTCTTGCCAAAGGACACAAAGACAACCCTAACCTTGTCTTTTAATGTTGTTTTATGTCTGTATTTGTCTGTGCACACTGGAGACTTTTTGCTAATGTATTCCAATGTGTTTTTTTTTTTTACTACAAATGGCAAATAATCTGAATCTGAATTGGTCCATAAGGAGACCAATGTCCATGAATGTTGATAAATGTCCATCCATGTAGAATGTTTGTGTCCTGGATCATCATCACAGTTCTTGTTAGACACTAACAGTGGGAGAAAAAAGGGGACAATGTCACATAATTGAACCCCATTGATACATTTCTATAAAATCGTTTTTAAAAGAAAACCACTTCTTCCATCTGAGAATTAGACGACCAGGACTTTATATGAAGGGACACACTGAATGCACCGTTGCACTATCAAAGATTCTATTTTTGTTTTGTACAGATTTATATATATATATTTTGGTTGATGCTGCCCTGGATTTGTTTGTGTGTGTGTGTGTGTGTGTGTGTGTGTGTGTGTGTGTGTGCATATAAGATAAGATGTACTTTATTAATCTCACACAGGAGAAATGTATATGTGTGTGTATGTGTGCTTTTTTATTATTTATTAACACATTAATTAAACAATTTTAACAACGAAGAATGTGTGTATGTAGTTTTTGAGTTGTGCTCGTTGGATCCTTGACAGACGAGTTCTCTGAGGAAGAAAATTAATACACAAAAATAAAAATATATCAGCTTAAAACCTAGACGTAAAAAAAATGTTTAAAAACTTTGCTATTTCCCCCTACGTTTTTTTTTTGTGAATGAACGAAACTCTCCCTCCCTCCTCCTGTGTCTCCTCCTCCATGCACCCCCCTCACCTCCTCCCAGTCACCCCGATAAGCACGCACTCCGCTCGGCCTCAGTCAGACCCAAGTCCCGCTGAAGGAAGGACCAAGGCTCGGCAGGAGGAAGGAGCTGGAATGGCGTCGCGTCTCCTCAGCGCGTTTCTCCTGGCGTTTCTCTGCGCGTTCGGGACCGCGACTTCGGGAAACAAGATGAGCAACCAGGACAGATGCACACTCAGGGTAAGAGAGCAAAGTTTAGCGCAAAAAAAAAATGACGCAAATGGTGCAGTTGTTTCCACGCGGAGGGAGCGGAGGCGCGAGACCCTGCGCGAGACCCTGCGCGAGACCTGCGTCAGCTGCCACTTCAAAGAGACGCAGAAGTTGGCTGTTTCTTTACGTGGTTTGGCAGCGTTGTGTTTCTTGCTTTTGTTGTAGAGATATATACTTTTGTTTAAACTTTTGTGACTTTACATAATGTTGAATCAGTTATACAGCCACATACTAACCCTTTACCTTTACCTGCTCACCGGGTAACAACAGACCAGACCTGAGCTGGAGACAAGAAAGAAAGAAAGAAAGAAAAACTTGGAGTGCGTTCAAATGGAAATCCTGGTTTAACTATTAGTATCTGAGATTAAGCTTAAATATCTGTTACACTGGGTCATCCACTTCATTAACAATCTATAACAACTTTACTAACCTAGCCATACTTTTCCAACACATTTGAATTGAGTTTAGGGTGAAGTGAAGCCTGTTATTGTTATTGAGTGTTGCCAATGTGTGGAAATATTTGCTTAAACTTGTATTGTGACAACAGCTGATTTGCAAATAGTAACATACACTGTAAAATCTGAACGTAGGGCATATGAATATAAAGCAGACAAAACAGTCCATTAGCTCTGTATGCAAAGGTGCAGGGTTAAGTTACACATACTAAGGATTTTTGTTTAAAACTTATGGGATAATTTGTCTTACTTTCACTGTGTCCTATGGAAATGACATTATGGCTTTTAAAAAAACACTGTTTGTTTGTCAACTTTGATAGTGATCATGTTATATTTTGCAAAAAGAAGCCGTGTGAGTCACTATATGATGTGTTTGGGCTGAGACCTGATTGGCTGAGTGAGGGATGGTCCTTTCTTTTTCACTTTTCTCTGACAAAGCTGAGAGACCGAGGCCATAAATACATGCTTGTGAGAACTAGCACCCAACAGTTCAATTTTGCCGTTTAAAGGTTGAGTACCTCAGCTTTAAATCCAAATGTTCCAAACTATTGTGCAAAAACTTTGAACTTATTCCTTACATGTTTTTGGAAGGTGCTTTCCCCCCCCCCCCCCCCCCTCTTCTTCTTCCCCTCCTCCCACTCTCTCTCCCCCTCCTCCCACTCCCCCCTTGTGAATGTGTGTGAATGGGTTGTGTTTCTTTCATGTGGGGCTCTTTGTGTGACTGCAGGTAGCCGAGCACTTCCTGTCTTTTGTCCCGGGGCGTTTTGAAGTGTTAAATCCAGCACACTCGGCTGCCCGCAGAGTTTAGTCCAGACTTCACGCCCGCTGCTCCCAGAGTGATGCGTTTTTTTTTTAAAGGGCAAATGGCTTTTTTTTTCTCTCAAAATTAACTTTCTTGCCCTTTCGCTCGTCGGTTGCATTCATCTTTGTGGTGCAGGTGCGTGTTGAAGAAGGAAAAGATCAGATTTTATACTAGGATTAGAATCACAAACCCGGCATTATCAATCAATAGTTATTTGTAAAGCATATTTTTAAACAGCCCAGGCTTACGGAAGTGCTGTACCGACAAGTAAAAAACAAATAAAAACACATACAAATATGGACTGAAATAAAAATAATACTAATAAAACCAAAAACTTTGTCTCTTCTGGTATTAAAACTATAACAGACATATTATTCTTATGAACGTCTCTCCAAGGCCAACATTATGCATATGTTTTTGATTATGGTCGTAATTTTCAGAAATCTTTTATTGCGAAAAAAATTAGACCAACAAGTAACAATTAGTCACTATAAATACTGTGTAGTGGTGTAAATATTATTTGGTTATTCAATAGTTATTGTAATTCGGGTCAAATAGTGATTATGATAGTTTTAGAGCACATGTGTCAAAGTCGAGGCCCGGGGGCCAGATCCGGCCCGCGAGACCATTTCCAGTGGCCCTTGAGATGATTTTGAATTATTATATGAAATAGCAGCATAAATGGTATTAGGCAACAGTGGCATGTTTTCCATTACGAAGAAAACAACCATAACATTTAAATTAATCCCATGGAAATAAAGGATTTCCCAATTTTCTTAGGAAAGAACCGCCTTCTCCCCTTTTTCTCTCTCTGGTCTTATTTGACGAGCACGAATCACCAGAATGATTGACAATTGGGAGGAGCAATAGTCTTGATGATCCACTCAAAAGTATAAAATCTTCCTATATACCTTCAATATTTGATCCAGTTTTGGTTCAGTCCACAGAAACTGGACTAATTCTAATCAGAATAGAATATCCAATCCAGCTAATGTGAAACGAGGCATTTATTTAGATACCTTCATATTCCAAAAAAAATTAATTAACGAAACCCACTTATTTTTTTGGCCCCTGACCAGCTTTTTCTTTTTTTATTCGGCCCAAATACGTTTGACACCCCTGTTTTAGAGAATAAAATCAACACATCTTACGATTTATTTACAGTTTTTTCACAATAGTAGGTTCAGTCCTATTCCAAGGGCTACTTCCCATGTTCCTTTTCCTTCCTCACTACAGATAAATTGCCTTTTTTCTTTGTCAAATCAAAATCCGTACCCTTCAAAACAACATATTAGTCACAGTAAATTCTATAACATTGAATTTTTACTTTCTTTGGGCCATAGTCATGAGTATTTGTTAAACCGTGGTGTTTTTTTCCTCACAATACTAACTTTAACAAATGAAATCACCACATCCATATTATATCAAGTGATCGGATAACTTTCATATGTACATTTTCTTTGCGATAACAGAGAAAATTGTCTTATTTTCCCCGTAAAGCAGAAAGAAGTTGAACAAGTCCCGTCTCTTGATAATTGCTGCTTTTGTCTGAGGCTCAGGTTTTGTAATGATACTATATGGACTTCAGTTTTGGTTCGTCATGGGCAAAAGTAAATGAGATTCATTTCCAATTCAATCTCTGTGAATCCAAATGTGTCCTATTTGTTAGCAGCTTAGAGGTTTTTTGTTTGTTTTTGGGACCCTGTTTTGTTCCTGGTACTTATTTAATCATTCCAAGGGAGATATTTTGTGTGTTGTTGTAAAACAAGATCATTTTGCTTGTTCAATTGAAAAAATCTTGATTTAAGGCAGTCAGAATGTGCTCAAAGTAAGATTTTTTTAAGCTTAATTTTGATCATTTTATGCAGTGTTTGGATCATGCTAACCCGCTAGCTCAATAGGGAAGCACTCATAGACAAAGTTTTGCTCCAACTTGCCCAGGTTCCTACTGACTTACATTGAAACTCTCCTGTCTCAGTAACTGTATGTGTCACACTCACCGTTTTGGGCTTATGAATATGTGGTTTGTGGCTCTTTATGATCCGGGTGTTTATATTTGAATATTGTCTTTGTAAATCCAGATATGAGCCATAGGGATTGACCAAGCGGGTGATTTTATCTGTGGATGGAAACGCCAGCATGCTTGTTACCGCTCAAATATAACCCCGTCGTGACAAATGCCCTTATAAGGAAATTGGCTACAGCTAGCTTATGCTCAAGTTAGCTCAAGTTAGTCCCCTGCTAATACACGCTGTATGGTCGAATAGCGTGGGAATTTTGGCCCAGTGTGAAACGCCACATTGAAAGGTCCAATCAGGATCGAGCTATAGCGGTATCGCAGGGACCTGATATCCGATGCCAGTATTGTTGTTTATTTTGAGATCCACCATTTTGTCGACTCCTTTGGTGCGATTAAAAGAGCTTAAACTAGATCAGTGTCTCCCAAAGTGGGGTCCGCGGCCCCCTGGTGGGCCGCGAGGGTACTGCAGGGGGGCCGCGGGAGGTCATAAAAAAAATAAAAAAATAATATAATTATTTAATGTTAAATTTATAATGTTTTGTTTGTAATATCAAAATATTTGTGTTCATTATTTGACTTGAATAATCCACTGTAATCATTTTTGTATTACAATGTTTGTAGCAGAGGCTATTTCCCCAAAATAAAATAACCAGAAGAGCCTATTCTTAATGTTGTCTTCTTGGTTATTATTTTGGGGGGCCACGCAGACCCGTCAGATTTTTAAGGGGGCCTCGGTGTTACTGAGTTTGGGAATGGCTGCAGTAGATGATAGCTGGTTTGAATCTTCCATTGTGGATCTAACACACTCCACTGATCACTGACACCAAGAACCATGACTTCTTAGCTCACCGGGGAATCTTTTTGGGGCATTTTAGATTTCACATTTAAAGGTATTGGATTATGTTTGGAGTTTTGATCTGACTCAGCAGTAAGGATATCTTCTGGAATCATTTGCTATAACGGTATAGAGTTTAGATGTCGGCGTTTTTAGAAGAAGTGTGTGTTTATATGACTTTGGACAATGTACTTAGCTCATCGTTTATTGTGTGTTCACCGTTTTTAACTGCAATCCTTCATCTTTCTTGGTATGTTGATTTGTATCTTAGCATTCATGTCTAGTGCAATAGGGTCTGTGCAATATTATGGCATATTCTTGGGTGGAAATTGCGCAGATGAACTGATTGTCCGGATGTTGGGAGTGTCTTGCATGTGAAGAAGATGACATGTCTGGGATCGTGTCTTTAATTCAGACAGAAGACATGTTTTATTGTCGATGGTAGAGACGGCACAAACAACACGAACACAGAATGCAAGTGTATTATACAGAGCGGAGGCATGGAGACCTCCAATCAGCAGCTGCCACAGTGCCATGTAGCTTGGCCTTCAGATAGACAAAACAAGGGAAAAGTACTGGCTTCTGCACATTGATAGAATGATGAGTTTAACTTTAACAAAAGTTGCTTAAAAGTGTTATGAAATCTCACACATGTTACGATTGAACCTTGAACCTTGAAAATGCTCAGTTTTCTTCATGTTAAGGTAATACCCAGAATATTCCCCTGTGTGGTAATAAACATATCTAGCTGGTGGCGCTAATGCTAACTTCAGCGACTACTTCGAGATCCGAGTTTAGTTATTATCTATATTCCTTAAAGACAGAAGAAAAATTGACACGGGATATTTCAGATCTATGTTTGAGATGATTAAGACAATATTCTTTTCTAGGTGTTGAAAATGGATGTAAACAAATAGAAAAGTTGAAAGCCAGACTGTGGAATATTCCAAGCAACTCAACATGGCTACATTAACACAGGCAGTAGTGGTAGTTTACTGCAAATATGGTAGAGGTAGAAAAACAACAGACTTTTAGCCCTTTTACTGGTTTCCTCGACCAATCGGTGGATCATTTTTTGAGTCACTATTGATCTTGAAGCTTGGAATTGAAATCTACCTCACTTCATCAAACTGCATCTCAAATATTTGGTAAAGGCCTATAATTGCTCCAAACCAAGCGGCTACTCCACCATGTGACCCGTCCTGCTCCACCCAGAGGCTACTCCACCTCTGCTGCTGTGACCGGTCCTGCTCCACCCAGAGGCTACTCCATCTCTGCTGCTGTGACCGGTCCTGCTCCACCCAGAGGCTACTCCACCTCTGCTGCTGTGACCCGTCCTGCTCCACCCAGAGGCTACTCCACCTCTGCTGCTGTGACCCGTCCTGCTCCACCCAGAGGCTACTCCACCTCTGCTGCTGTGACCCGTCCTGCTCCACCCAGAGGCTGCTCCACCTCTGCTGCTGTGACCCGTCCTGCTCCACTCAGAGGCTATACTCCACCTCTGCTGCTGTGACCCGTCCTGCTCCACCCAGAGACTACTCCACCTCTGCTGCTGTGACCCGTCCTGCTCCACCCAGAGGCTACTCCACCTCTGCTGCTGTGACCCGTCCTGCTCCACACAAAGACTACTCCACCTCTGCTGCTGTGACCCGTCCTGCTCCACCCAGAGGCTACTCCACCTCTGCTGCTGAGACCCGTCCTGCTCCACCCAGAGGCTACTCCACCTCTGCTACTGTGACCCGTCCTGCTCCACCCAGAGACTACTCCACCTCTGCTGCTGTGACCCGTCCTGCTCCACCCAGAGGCTACTCCACCTCTGCTGCTGAGACCCGTCCTGCTCCACCCAGAGGCTACTCCACCTCTGCTACTGTGACCTGAAGGGCTGTTGCTGATTACTATTGTTAGCTTTTCTGAATGATCTCTATTTTATTTTATTTTTTTTCTGCTACTGGACAACTGGATTTCTCCAACAAAAAAATATCAAACAAATATCTATCTAACTATCTATAATTAAAAAACTAGGAGTTAAAACAACCTTCAAAACAAATCATGTGTGTTGTCCGTGCTCCTACATCTTAGAAAAGAAAAATGTACATTGCTTTCTTCAAGGAGTGAACATTAAAGGGTTGATATTTACGACTGTCTAAATAT